CGCGCCTCCCGCGCCGCCTCGGGCTCCGGGGCCGCCTCAGGCTCCGACTCGGACCCTGAATCAAAGCCCGAGGCCAGGAACTCGTCCACGGTCAGTTCCGCCAGGCGCCTGCGGGCCACGTGGACTGGTCAAGGCCGCCCTCAGGAAACGCCAGGCCCCCCGGCCCGGCCCGGCCCGGCCCGACTCACCTCCGTCGACTCGGAGCCGCGGCCATGACGCTCAGCCACCGCGTGAGCCGCTCTTCCGGTCCCAGAAGGCCGCGCGCCGCCACACTTCCTCAGGCAGGCCCCGCCCCGCCCGCCCGCCCCGCCCCACGGGCGGCTGTCGGGTTCTCGGACTTCTGCGCCAAGGGCCTGAGGCGGGAGGGCGCATTCGCACCCTGGTTGAAGCCGGTTAGGTTAAGGCTAAATTCAGCAGGCTGTCAACTACGACTCAGGGGTCTTCTCCATCGAATGCGGTAGTAAAAGTTCCTGCTTGGGGAACACAAAGTCGGGACGTCCCTTACCGCCCTGCCCACAACCCATCTAACCTATGCCGAGCTCTGACAATAGGCGGTGTGCCGTGCCTGGGACTCCTACACCAACGGCACTCAAATCACTCACAACACTGGAAAATGGAAACAGTCGATCAAAAGCCGGAAGAGCCGGGCGGGCTTGGCTCAAGCCTGTAACCCGACTCATCTCCACGTCGCCAGCAGAAGGCTGAAAGTGGAGGTGTAACCCAAATGGAAGGACGCGCGCCTAGAGCTGCTCCGGTGCACGCGGGACCCCCGCCGCGGACCCCACCAGTCAGGTCGGAGCCGACCGCTGAGTGTGGGCTCCCCAGACACTCCCGGCCTGCGCGGCCTCCACCCGCACCTGTAAGGCGCCACCGAGGTGGGGGCCAGATTTCCTCATCCGGGTCCTAGGGAAGGGTAGAGCCCCGAAGTCCGTGAGGGTCCGAAGCCTGGACAGCCAGACCCCCAGCGACCACGTGGAATTCCAGAACTCGAGCCTGGGGCAGAATTGGCACACGGGGCGCAGGGCTGGCATGCGGGGCGCAGAGATGGCACGCGGGGGGCAGAGATGGCACGCGGGGGGCTAGAGCTGGTACATGGGGACCTAGAGCTGGTACATGGGGACCTAGAACTGGTACATGGGGACCTAGAACTGGTACATGGGGACCTAGAACTGGTACATGGGGACCTAGAACTGGTACATGGGGACCTAGAACTGGTACATGAGGGCGCAGGGCTGGCACGCGGGGCGCAGAGATGGCACGTGAGAGCGCAGGGCTGGCACGTGAGGGCGCAGAGATGGCACGTGAGGGCGCAGGGCTGGCACGCGGGGCGCAGAGATGGCACGTGAGAGCGCAGGGCTGGCACGTGAGGGCGCAGAGATGGCACGTGAGAGCGCAGGGCTGGCACGTGAGGGCGCAGAGATGGCACGTGAGGGCGCAGAGATGGCACGTGAGGACCCAGGGCTGGCACGCGGGACGCAGAGATGGCACGTGAGGGCGCAGGGCTGGCACGCGGGACGCAGAGATGGCACGTGAGGGCGCAGGGCTGGCACGTGAGGGCGCAGAGATGGCACGTGAGGGGCAGAGATGGCACGCGGGGCGCAGAGATGGCACGTGAGAGCGCAGAGATGGCACGTGAGGGCGCAGAGATGGCACGTGAGGGCGCAGAGATGGCACGTGAGAGCGCAGAGATGGCACGCGGGGGGCAGAGATGGCACGTGAGGGGCAGAGATGGCACGTGAGGGCGCAGAGATGGCACGTGAGGGGCAGAGATGGCACGTGAGAGCGCAGGGCTGGCACGTGAGGGGCAGAGATGGCACGTGAGAGCGCAGGGCTGGCACGTGAGAGCGCAGGGCTGGCACGTGAGAGCGCAGAGATGGCACGCGGGGGGCAGAGATGGCACGTGAGGGGCAGAGATGGCACGTGAGAGCGCAGGGCTGGCACGTGAGGGTGCAGAGATGGCACACAGGGGCAGAGATGGCACGTGAGGGCGCAGAGATGGCACGCGGGG